GAAGAGCGAGGCTCTCACATCACGGAGAGGGCGCGGCGCGCGGGAGCGGGGGCCGTGGCGGGCGGAAGGCGGCGGGGGGGGCAGCGCCGCCGCGGGGCATCTGAGCCTCCGAGTCCGAGCGCGCCGTACGCTACTACTACGCCGCCACGCTCTTCGGGGCGGCGGGGGCGGGGCGGGCGCGCGGGCGGCGGGCGGCTGGCGGCGCGGCGGCGGCGGCGCGGGCAGTGCGCTCTGCGCGCGTCCGGGCGGCCGGGCGCACAGCTGGCGGCGCGGCGCCGGCGCATGCGTCGCCCCCCGGCCCCCCCCCCGCGCCCCCCCCCCACGGCCCCGCTTCCCGCCGGCCCGCACCTACCGTACAGATTTAACGTTACTCTTACGCGCCCGGTACGCGCCGCCCCGGTCCCCGCTATCCCCCCGGCCCCGCCCCCGGTGGTGGAGACGCGCAGCGGCTACATCCGCGGCTTCGCCAAGGAGGTGCTGGGCCGCGAGGTGCACGTGTTCCTGGGCGTGCCCTTCGCCAAGCCCCCCTTGGGGCCCCTGCGCTTCCGCCGGCCCGTGCCCGTCGACCCCTGGCACGGCGTGCTCGACGCCACCCAGCTGCCCAACAGCTGCTACCAGGAGCGCTACGAGTACTTCCCGGGCTTCGAGGGCGAGGAGATGTGGAACCCCAACACGAACGTCACCGAGGACTGCCTGTACCTGAACCTGTGGGTGCCCGAGCGGTTGCGCCTGCGCCACCAGGGCGAGCAACGCGAACGGCCCAGGGTACCGATGCTCGTCTGGATATACGGCGGCGGCTACATGAGCGGCACCTCCACCCTCGACGTGTACGACGCCGACATCATGGCGGCGTCGACGGACGTGATCGTGGCGTCCATGAACTACCGCGTGGGCGCTTTCGGCTTCCTGTACTTGAAGACGTTCTTCGGCGGCGACAGCGAGGAGGCCCCGGGCAACATGGGCATGTGGGACCAGGCGCTGGCCATCCGCTGGCTCAAGGACAACGCCGCGGCCTTCGGCGGCGACCCCGAACTCATCACCTTGTTCGGCGAGTCGGCCGGCGGCGGGTCCGTCTCTCTCCACCTGCTGTCGCCCGTCACGCGCGACCTCGCTCGGCGCGGCATCATGCAGTCCGGCACGCTCAACGCCCCCTGGAGCTACATGACCGGCGAGAAGGCGACCGAGGTGGCCCGCACGCTCGTCGACGACGTCGGCTGCAACTCCACCGACCTGAACGTGTCGCCCAGCAAGGTGATGGCGTGCCTGCGCGCGGTCGACTCCAAGACGCTGTCGGTGCAGCAGTGGAACTCGTACTGGGGCATCCTGGGCTTCCCGTCGGCGCCCACCATCGACGGCGTCTTCCTGCCCAAGCACCCGCTCGACCTGCTCAAGGACGGCGGCTTCGAGGACACCGAAATCCTCATCGGCAGCAACCAAGACGAAGGTAGGACGCCTTTACCTCATCACTTCACAATTGTGAGGAGACAATTGAGCTTTTTGATTGACAATTTTGATTTAATTGTTCTTTTGCTCATCTGCGAGTGTCGTTTCTCATAGAATTAATACTACAATTATTACTCATTCATTTGCATCATACTGAATGTTGTAAGGCAAATACAGATCTTAATTTAGGCATTTTTTGTTTGATTATTCTCACTATATTTTACTGAAACCTTTTGCAGAAAAATATGTTCTGAAGTACTTTTTTAATATGAGAAGAGAGTACATCAAGCCCAACTACATTTTGTTATATGTGTATGTCACATACGTTTCAATTGCATAGTTTGGAAAAGATGACCATTTTAATTACCCTTCAAAGCGCGGATTCCCAATAAGTGAACAATTTTATTTGAATTACAGCCTATTGGCAGTATCATTTTTTGTATGAACAAATGTATCGTAAAGCGAAAAAGGTACAGTGAAGGAGTTTAAGTCAAATGTGTTGATTAAACAATTTAAAACAAAAATAAAATAAATCTCGAAAAATAAAGCAATAAGCAATGAAATCCAAACAAAGAAATAACAATGTTTTTATCTATTTATCGTTGAAGCAATTCTAGGTATTAAATTTAAAAAAACGGAATTTTGAGACATTCCAAAATAAGAAAATTGGAATATCTAGGAAAAAATAATATAAGAAAGTTAACTGAAATGTAAAACACACCAGAGGTATGTAGTAGCAAAAGATAGCGCGCAATAAAAAACATGGCGGATCTGGTGAGTGGCGCATTAAAACGTTCCATTTAAAGAATTCACTACGTTATTGCGATATAGCGTAGATTGGGACTTGGCCAACATCCTTGTATGTCGCCGGAGTCTTTCTACTTCATGAGGGATTGGACATGTAGGAACAGAGGATCAGACCAAGGTCAGGTCCTGCAGATGAAAGTAGTACAAATTTGGAAAGGAAGGATCGCGTGTGGTCCATAGTCCGCTGTTTAAGGCACTGTTCTCCCGATATTCATCTATAATTACCATTAAACTTATTGCATTATCATTCTATTCTGTAGAGAAATTAATATCACTGTCAGAGCTATACATATGAATTATTTGTATAAGACATGCACGTTTTGAATAACACAACTTTCGACACATAATTTTTTCAGAAATCTCCAGTTAAAACCAATTAAATAAGACGTTTTTCAGGTATAATTGAAATTTGGGAAAAATAGATCCTAACATTCAGTTAGAATGGGAAATAAAATAACGATGTAAATGCTACGGAAAAATAGCAGATTCATAAATTTTGAACAGGGACTTACACAAAAAATACAGCTGCTTGAGGCTTTTATTTCAAATTCAAAACCGTCCCATTTCATTTGAGAACAAAATATAATTTTATTTTCTTGACAACACTAATTATGTTCCTCTTGCATTCCATGTAGTTCGTGCTTTTCCCCTTTGAAGAATACTCTCCGTGCAAACCTAGCCAGTCGTCGATACGGTCGGCCTTTCTGGATATTTAATGAGAAGTCGCAAAGTGGGACACAGGGTCGAGGACGCGATCGACCAAAGCCACGAGATCCAACAATACCGACAAAAATGGCTTGTGTAAGTAAATTTTTGAAGTGAAATATTTACAGAAGAACGGAAATAGGGCGCCGATTTATTTTTTAGGTCTCGAAATCAAGGGCTTGGCAAAAGTCGACTGTGATAACTCCAAACCCATCTGAGAGGAAGTTCAAACTCGCGTGTCGTCCATTAATCATCATTCCAAGATGGTTAAGGGAGTTTTAAGTCGCTTTCATTCGATTCTCGTGACAATTTTTCCATCAAATTCAGTGTCAATAATTTTGGCTGTGAAGCCTACTCATACTTTTCTTATTTTAATGTCAATATTTGAGTAATACAAGAGACAAAATGTTCAAAAATAAATTACCCGAAATACAGAAATAAGTTTAAAAAAAATTATTCTCAAATTAAATTTCTTACCACAAATTGAGGGACAAGAATTATTAGTGATTTATCGACGATGGAATTCTAATATTTTCATATGTTTCAGAAAATTCCTCACTGACAAAACTGTATGTGGTTCAAAAATATTATCGTCTCACCTTGTATCAAGAGCCAATCGAGAGAAAATAGACGTGCAAACAAATTAGATACAAAAAAACGACTTGTATTTATGATTACTGTGAGAACTATATATAAATCTGATAATTAGTGTGATATCTGTCGGGTTTCTCCGACCCTGCGGCGTATACTTTATTAATTCACTCTAATACTAAATAAATATAAATTATTCTTCATAGACTGTGTATTAGTAACCCTTTTTAAGCGCGCATGTGTCCATTGAGATCCATTGAATCTTAAGAACTCTATATCTCTCTGTTGATGGGGTTAGCTGGAGAAAGAGAGATCACGTAGCCTCTCTTTCCTTTGGCGTGCGACGCGTGATTTTGCGAGACTCCGTTGGGGTAATGCTATCTCATGCAGTTCGCAGAAAGACTTTGCAACGTTGCGTTTTGTACTATTCTTAGCTTACAAACGTGTTTTCCGAATAACATAATATATTCCCCTCAACAATATCATCAATGTGATTACAGGTTTTGATCTGCAAATGCGGAAGATACGAGATCTTTTTTAGAAGATTTTGGAGATGAATATGCCGAAGAAAATTTCGATTGAGAATTGGAAGATAATGTGAAAGAAAAGTCTGTAAATTTAGACTTAGACCATAAAGTAGACAAAGATGATTTAGAACAATACCATTATAAAATCGTGGAGAACTCTGTTATTTTTTCAGATGCATCCAAACACGATAAATATAGGGAAATGAACACTTTCTCTCATCTCTAAAATATTGCTGCAATAAATGTGAGAGCAATTTATGTACGAAATGGTTACAAAACCCTATATCGTTGAGAGCACCAACATAAAGATGTTCGCTTTAAGTTTGGTCCTCCAGCCGATACACTATTACCTATAGAATGTCCACAATTAACTATAGAAATTCAAAAAAAAACTAACTAAATACAGCACAGTGCGCACTGTCTCCCGACTTTCGCCACATGTACCGAGACTGATGATGATGACAAATCCGTCTCTTTGAATAAATCCAGGACGTCGACGAAGATCACTTCAGTTTCACCATAAATGATTGATGTGCACATTTTCCATTTTTCTAGATACTGTCCACGGAGTGGTTTCTTTTCACGATTTCTTTAACTTTTTTGAGCCTCATTAAGTTGCAAGAGATGAAACAGAAATGCCTTATCTAAACAACGATAGGAAGAGAAAACTACGTTTGCATCCGACGTTTATCTCCTGCGTCATTGGCGAATGTTGCATTGCAACTACATGAAACGTGAGGGAACACCAGTGGCACTCTAAAGGGGGAAGGCTCAAGGAGCTGGGCGCCCCTACCCCCCAAAAACAATGACACATATTCATAAATGTACTTTTATTTTACTACTAATTTTCTATTGTTACGAATGTGATTTAATATCCCGATTCAATACGTTACAAGTAACTATATATCAACAAACATTTTAAATTCAGTATAGATTAAATAGTCTTTGTAAGAAAACTTCAAGTCATCTAAAGACTCATACGATAACTTCTTTCATTAGAATTTGATTGATTGATTAGCGCTCCAGGCGTGTGAACTGCTAGTCATTATTCCCGTAAGTGTAGTGACATTTTCTCATGTGAGATGGCGGTGATCTTCCTTCGGTGGATAGCAAGATCCGGTCCCTACCTATCGGTCAGCTTGCATGATTTCTCTCCACCAGATCTCTCCCCCCATCGGGGCATCGCCTCAGCCGGGACAAGCTTTAGGTTCCCGACTGGTCTCCCAAATGCGCGGTCGCTCAGTGCACGTAAGTGTATATGTGTAAAGAATGATAAGACAAAGAAAGGGAGGAAAATATCGCTCGCTGTTTACTGCGCTATTTGTTAGGCATTCATCTGGTGTCGATCGGAGAAACCACGGAAAACCACCAATCAGAACAGTCCGCTGCTATCCAAACAGCGGATGATTTCGACGTAGATAAGTAGCTTGCGTCGAAAAATCCTACCACCGTTCGGACCCGAACACTGATATGTGTGGTATTTTACTGCATGTTAGTGTAAGTGTGTGTTAGGGGAGAGGATAGAACAAGGAAGAAGTAGGAAAGATCGCGCGCGGACCATGGCCCCTTTGTTAGGGTATTGCTCCGACATTCGCCTGACGTTGGCCGAAGAAACTACGTAAAACTACCGATCTGGGCAGCCGGCCTCTATAATTCCCCTCCAGACAAAGATTGAACTCGACCTAACTATATGTCTATAATCTCGCCACCCCGGGGACTCGGACCTCACGATCAGTCGTACTGCCGCGACTCTCCCCTTAGAAAAATCCTGGTTGCACCGCTGGATAAAGCCAATACGATTAACCCTAAGACAGCGTTTCCGAGAAACAGCCGTTCACCGCATGGGGGTGGCAACAACCCTAGCGCGTCGTAAATGTTCCGCGGGTTGCTGCCCCCAGCATCCTCAGCAGCCGCAGCAGCCGCAGCGAATGCAAGGGCCGTGGGTTGCAGTTCGAAGGAAGCAACAGGGGAGGGGGGGGCTTTCTTTTCCTTTTTTCCCGGGCGCAGCGGCAGCGGCGGACTTGGGCAGCGGCGTTTTAAGCCCGAGCCCAATTAGCGAGCAGCGCGCAGACCCGCACGCCGCTGCGGCATCGCGACCCGCGCCGCGCCGCCGCCGCGCCGCCGGCTCCCGATTTCCCAGCCAGATTAACCCTCCGACAAACGGTTAAACAAGAGGCCCTGGAAATATCAAGAGAACCCTCATCAACCTAAACCGTGATAATGGCTCAGCTCAGTTACCACCTGAAACGGGGCCTTCAAGGAGCCCGCCCAATCCGGCGCCTACCCCAGGGGACACACCCCACGGTCGACCCATGACGGGCCTTTCAGCGCAGGCCGCTGATTGGCTGATGGCTCCTGCCTCTCAGGCGGCCCCCCTTGTGAGGAATTTCTCCCTGGTTTCGCCTTTATTCCTTTCAGAATGTCTGCTTCTCTCTCAATTGCCACCTTCCCCGTGATCCCATCTTTCCCCTCCCGCCCATGAAA